TTGAAGTATGAGCAGAATGCCCTATGGGCATCAAGACTGTGCCCAGGATTCTCTGGAAACTGAACATACTCCATTCTGTGTCCCCCAGATTCTGAATGCTCCAGCATTCAGGGGGACGGAAATGTGCCTGTGGATGTTGGGAGTGTCTTGACAACTCTTCTGGTTCTACTCTGTGACCCAAACACATGAAAGCCTTGTGAAGTGTATTAGTGAAGAGTGCCCAGCCACTGTGGACAGTGGTAAGTCCAGGTAGCAGCACATTCCTACCTCTGCAACAGGCAGCTTTCAGCACAGTGTCTAGAAGGGTCATTTTTAGCCCAAAGAGGGGTGAGGTTCACAAAAAAGCTGAGGCTGGGAAAGAAAAACAGTGAGGAAAACAGAGCCAGACCTTCTATTCCGACTTAGAAGTTCTACTGTCTACCCTCTCTGAATTGTTTCACTTACCATGCAAATGACTGGGCCACGGACCCAGGACATCCTGGGATAAGCTTTTTCTGAAGAGTGACACCTTGAAGCATCATGTTTGGACTTAAAAATCCAAGTGAACGTGGCATTCTCCTGTAGAATAAGTGCATCCACGCTGGAATACAGAACATGTCCCATGCCTTTTTTTTGAAAATGGCCTAGATGTCTGCAACTTTGGCCATGTTGCCTGCCTCATTGGGAGGGCCTGGGATGGACAGTACCTGTCTTTGTCTCCAGGGGCTTCTACGGGATCCCTTTCCTCTACCTCAGTGGTGGTGAACCTATGGCATGCGTGCTACAGCAGCCATGCAGAATCCTCTCTGTTGGCAGTGAACCAAATCACCCTAGCAGCAGGGCATCCAGAAGAGTTATTTTTTGTGAATTAAAACCTCAGTATTCAGATTTAATTGCGGTGTTGGCATTTTGCAGTGAGTAAGTTTGGGGTTGCAGTTTGGATACTCAGTCTCTAAAAGGTTTGTCATTACTACAGCTTATCCTTTATATCAAGGAGTAGTTGCAGAGACTTGGAGGAAAGTTTCCAATGGGCACATGAATCAGTTGACTAAGTCCTAGTCACTCCATTCCTCCAGCCTATTTCCTTATCTGTCTCTTTGTGGTTGTCTATCTGCATCTGTGGAAAGGCCTCCTGCAGGTGAATACAAAGCAGAGACATCACGAGTTTCTCTATCCTGGGCTTGCCAGCTTGTCTTGAGGCCTGGAAAGTTCTTTGCTCAAGTTCTGTGTGGGGAGATGGCTTGGAGTTGCACATAGTTAGAACATTACTTGCTATCTGCTGAGACTTTGACTCTGCCATTTCTCGGGGCTTCCACACTCCTAGAATGACGTACACAGTTTATTTCACAGTAAAACCCACGGTGGACACCACCTAGGGACTGGAAAATGTCTCTGCATGCAGTACCAGTGCTGCCCATGAAAAGACCTGAACAGACAGCATGGCCACCCTGTTTAAGCACAGCCTGGGAAAAGCAGCTTCCTGTGCGGATCCTACAGCCTGTCTAGATAAGACACTTTTGTGTTGGCTCATCTAATCTGAGAGGAGGAGCCCCTGTAGGGCAGGTTTGGTGACAGCAGCAATCCTTGTAAATGCTCAAGTCCCCAGAGCTAAGAAATGAACCCCTCACCCTGGCAGCCAGACCTAGAAGGAGGGCCCCACTTGGTCACCACTCCTTCTTTGGCCAACTCATGTCTTCTCACCTCAGCTAGGCCCAGGGTAGCCATCCTCAACCAGCTCCTGTCCCACCCCCAGACCTACTTTGCTGGAGTGGATAATGTGGAGTCAGGGAAGATTAAAGGGAGTGGGGGCAGATAGCCATAGAGCAGGCCCAGGGACAAGATGGAGGCCATAGGCCTGCCTTGGATCATCTTCACCTCTGCATTAGCAGAGATCCCTACTCTAAAGGGAGGCTGATGGGCCACAGTGTAAGGGTGCTCCCCCTCTGGATTGGCTACCCCTACACCTGCCTTTCATGGCACACAGGCAGCCAGATTCTTCCCTCTCTGTGTCTCCCTATCTCTTGGTGGCTCTTTGGGCTGAATGAGATAAGGCTTTGTAAGGTGCTGTGTTTTTTCCTCAGTTGAATGTGCCATGTATCTGTTTTTAAGTCTATAAAAAGCCAGCTTTTGGAAACATAGAAGACAAATTATGTGCCTTGGGCCCCAGTGTTTTTCTTGAAAGTTGGTCTGGCAAGAATCTTGTGCCAAGGATGCTAGGAAGAAAATGTATAAATTGCATGACGTAGGATCTCTTTCTTTTCTATGACGCTTCAACATAGAGGTTTTTAAAAAATTTTTAAAAATTATTATGGAAGCTCAGACACATACATATAATGTAATGTGTCTGTTTAAGTGTAGAGTTCAGTGAGGCCAGACAAACGTATGCATGTATGTGTGGGTAACCACCACACCGCAGTCAATGTATACAACACTTGTGTCCTCTTAAAAAATCTGTTTCCCAACCCCCAACAGCTTTGCAGTCAGTCCCCTGCCCTGGGCAACCACAAAAGTCCAGGGCTTTCTTGTTTCCGCTTCTTGTGCCTCAGCCTTTCCGGTTAAGGTGGTTCTACTTGTGGCTACCTAAATGCCACTGGTTTTTCTGGCCAGTCTTGCCAACTACCTGCATTCATTCCACTATTTCTACTAGTGTGAGCCACACAGTGGTGTCCTATTTGGAGTGGCCATACTGGGAGAGCTTAGAAACCAGTGGAGTCAGCTGATAGAACTTTTGAAAGTCTTCCAGGGGTAACAAAGTGGACACCCTACAGGCAATTGCAGCTGGGAAAAGGCATTGTGCTAGCCGGGGATTTAGCTCAGCAGCATAAGCACCTGCTTTGCAAGCGCAAGGTTGTGAGTTTGATCCCAGGTACCAAAAGAAAAAAAAGCATACTGCTCAGGCATAAGCTGTTTGTAGCGGCAGGTACAGTGACCTCAAGCAACTGCTGTGGGGTCTGAGCATCCAGGTCCCTTACATCCCTGACTGGACTTTGGCAAGTAATGGCTGTCCTGTCCACCACAACATTTATTATAAAAAATTTCAAGCATATAGAAAAGTTACACATATAGGATAGTGGATAGTGTGCCCAATAGGCCAGTAGGTCCAACTGTTGATAACATTTTGTCATATTGCTGAACCACTTAAAATCATTATATTTTACTCTAAAATATTTCAGCATGCATCTTCTAAGAAATACTTCTTCCTATGTTACCTCTCCACCTCATTGCATCTAAGAAAATTAATAGTGACTTCATAATAAACAGGGCATTCTTTGTTTTGGTTTTGTTTTGTTTGGTACGAGGGATTGAATTGGTGACCTTGTGCTTGCAGGACAGACACTTACACTGCTGAGCTAAACCCCAGCCCAGGGCATTGTGTGTTTTAAGTTTTCCTCAAGTGTTGCTTCAGCTTCTACTTTTTCTTGTAGAGGTTTATGCATTATAATTCCTTTGTATCTTTTCCTCTATATTTGTACCCTTAATGATACTGACTCTTTTGAAAAGACCAATGTAGAATGTCAGACATCCATGTTTGGTAGATGTCATTTATGTTATTGTCCTATGCCAGGCATCATTGGTAACTGGGAAATTAGGTCTGGATACACTGGAGCAGGATGTGACTCAGTGGTAGAGCATTTGCCTCACATTAATGAAATTCTGGGTTTGATCCAGTGCTGCTGAAACAAGTAAATGAAGACTGCATTGTGCTGACCCAGCATTTAGGGCAGAAATGCCCAAGGGTTTGGACCATTTCCCACTAGTCACAGCCAGATGTGGGAGGGGCCAGATATGGCCCTGGAATGTTCCCTGTGCCTTCACAGAGTACTAGGTACAGTGTGCTTTGCCACTCTGAGTCACATTGTTTATACTTTTGTTAGCTGTCATTCTTATCTGAAAAAAAGATAAGAATTAAAGATGAACACAGTTCTTTTAGAAAGACATGATAAATGTGTAGCTGTATTTTGTTTGCTTTGGTTTGGTTTTGCTTTTGAGACAAGATCTCACTATGCAGTTCAAGCTGGTTTTGAGCTCTCTTTGTAGCCCAGGCTGGTTTTGACCTTGCAGTGATCCTCCTGTGTCAGCCTGCCTCCTGCCTCAGCCTCCTGAGTCCTGGGATTACAGGCATGGTCAGTTTAAAACTGGTTTTTGAACTCACTATGTAGACCAGTCCTCCAACTCAAGGCAGTCCTCCTGTCTCAGCCTCCTGAGTGTTAGGATTATAGATGTATTCTTTCATGTCTTGCAAATAATCTTTTTTTTTTTTTTTAGTGATCAGCTTCCAACCTAAAGAAGAAATATGTTTTCTTTTTTGTCAGTGCCCAGCACTTGACTTTTCTTCTTCCCTCCCTTCTTTCAAATAAAACAAGGGAGAGCCAGTGCTCTGGGAATCTGAGGTAGGAGATTTGAAAGTTTGAGTCTTGCCTGGGCCACTTAACAGGACCCTGTCTCAAAATTAAATCAAGAAGAGTTGGGGATATGGGTCAATGCTCTCTGGGTTCAGACAGACCCCAGGACCACCACCACAACAGAAAGTGTTGGCAGCTGTTTTGAATTGTTAGTGTGTCTCAAAGACTGTGTCTGCCTGTCCACTGTACAGAGAAGAGGAGTGTGCCCCACCCTGTATGGCCTGAACATCCAGCCTTTCACTGGCCCTGATCCACTCCTGGAGGAAAAGGCACATGGGTTACTGAGCCCCTCATCCATCATTGGTGGGATGGGGCCATTGTGCTTTCTGCAGCAGGGATACCTGTCAAAAGACATGACCAGCCCAAGAGATGTGGGGGCCACTCAGGGAGCTCAGTGGGCAACTCAGAGAAGAGAAAAAAGGGATAAACTGGAGACAGGCTTACTTCACTCCGTTGAGACCTCAACCACCTGTGCTCCCTCATCTGCAAAGCCAGCACCAGCCTGATGTGAGAAAAGATTTTCTCTGACCCTTGTACCTTGCTCACTTGCCAGGGTCAGCGTGCAGGAGGAGAACAGGTAAATGAGCTAGTAGGTGGTGTTTCCTCTTCTCCCTGCAGGTGTGAATGACAGAAGTGGTGCCATCCAGTGCCCTCAGTGAGGTCAGCCTGCGTCTTCTCTGCCATGATGACATAGACACCGTGAAGCACCTGTGCAGTGACTGGTTCCCCATCGAGTGAGTGTTGGCACCTGCATTCTAGACTGCAGGTACAGGGAGGTGGGAGTGTTTGGATCTGCAGGTGTTAGGGCTGATAGAGGCCCAGGGGAGCCTATCACCGTGCAGCAGAAGGAAGGACAGGTCTAGAGGCGTCATTGTGGTCATTTGCTTTACCGAACCATGGACCTCAGGGGTCTAGACCTCCTCATACCTCACCTCCTTCCTCATGTGAAGTTTTCCCAAAGGATCTGTGTGGAAGCTTTAGTTATAAAGGTGTTCAGTGTGGTGCCGTATATTCATCAGGAAATTTAGAAGCAATTCATGTATCCTAACTATAAAACATTGTTTACATGCATTAGGATATGTGCCTACAAAAATAGTATTGAGCTGGGAGTGATGGGCCATGTCAATATAATCTTAGCTATTTGGAGTCTGGGGCAGGAGGATTTCATATTCAAGGCTAGTGTGGGTAACTTAGTGAAAACTTGTTTCAAAATAAAGTTGAAACTGGGCTGGGGATGTGTAGTTCAGTGGCAAAATGCTTGCCTCGCCCTGGATTTAATCCCCAGTACCACAAACAAAAAACATAATACTATTCAGCCAGAAAAGGGGAAAAAAATCTGTTAAAAAGGTATATTTGTTGACAGGGAAAGTTTTTTTGTTGGTTGGTTTTTTGTTTGTTTGTTTGTGTGTTTTGTTTTTAACAGGTAGGTATTAAATGAAACAAAAAGCAGAGGGTTCTGGATAACACCTTGTATAACAAGGGACAGGATAGCAGAAAAGACTGATAAATATATGTGATTATGGTCATATGTGACATGGAAGCCTTCAGACTGGAGACTAAGGTCCCCAAAGAGAACTCTCCATTTTCATGTGTAGGCTTGATGAAGCAGAAACAGCAGTGTAGAAATTATAAGGCAAGAAGGCTTTGACCTAGTGGTAATAAATAGGAGTTAGGAGGATTCAGCCAAGTCCTGTCAGTTGAGATTCCTCTTACCTCTGTGATATATTTCTTCCTTTTGGGTGGGAGGTCAGACCCTTTCTGGAATGAGAGGCTTAGATTACCCACCAGACAAGATAGATCAGAAGATTCTTCATAGCCACCTCTTACACAGACAAGTAGTGGTGGTTAGAGTAAGATTTTAGGTTTTATGATTGGCTTTGAGGGAAAGGGCCTCTTGTCTCTGTGTCCTTCCCACCTTTGGACAAAGAAATTTAAGTTTCTACAGCTGGCCTTAGGAGAACAAGGGCAAGAGATAAGTGAGTGACAGAAAGTCAGAGAGGAATTTTCTTCTGAGGTTTTCACCTGGGATCATTTTCTGAGGCTATCCAGTACCTTGTAACAAGTGGTCTCAGTAGTATGGAGTGGGTAGATTAATAGTGTTCACAGTGTTCTGGTTTTGCTTGTCTATATTTCTTAGTGTCATTTTATATTATGTACATAAAGCTTTTGTAATGAGAAAAACAGATACAAACTTCTATTTTTTAATTTTTTATTTGAGTCAGAGTCTTGCTATTTAGTTCAAGGTGACCTGGACTTCCTATGTAGCCCAGGTTGGCCTCAAACTCATGGCAGTCCTCTTGCTTCAGCCTCCCGAGTGCTGGGATTATTGATATATGCCAACACACTAGCTCAGACACAAATTTTTTTAAGTAAAAAATATATAACATCTTGCCAGCCACCAGTATTGTCATGAGTCTTAACCTTAGACTTATGAGCCCACATGACTGGTAGAATGTAGGGACAGAGCTCCTCATGTACCTCTAGGCCTATGACTTCTAACCCTTCTTGGGATGTGGACTAGCAGTGGCTTTTATAAGTTAAAAATATCCTTCAAGCCAGCAGTCCTACAAGTAAAGTAGTAGCCCAGGGTAGTAGGAGTACCAGCAAAATAAGCCAGGCTGTGGCTTAAAATACTAAACATACTTTTTTTTGTCTTTTTTTTGTTTTGTTTTTATCGGTACCAGGGATCGAACTCACCACTGCCTGCTTGCAAGGCAGGCGCTTATGCCGCTGAGCTAAATCCCCAGCCCCAAACATATTTTTAAAAGTACATGGGGCTGTAGACCTCTGCACCCGCTGAGGCACAGCCTACCGGCCCTTCCAAAAACCTTGATGTACCTGAGGCTTTGGGTTCCCACAATGGTGGAGTGATGGTCATCCCCAGTAGTGCACCTTTCCTGACTGGAGGGCTGGCAGAGTTTTCTTGGGCCCTGGAGTGAACCTGGGCAGTGTTCAGGTCTTGTCAAGCAAGGACCCTTTTGGTGGATAGCCAGTGGCCTTTGCAAAGCTAAGCAGAGCATCTCCCCACTGTTTCAGCTCCAGCTATGAGGTCTGTCCCCAGTTTAAGAAAAAAAAAAAATCAACTTTAATATCTCCCCTATCCTGACTATTGCTCTCTGGGTTTGGGATAGATCTGCTGGAACAGTGTCCTGGGCGTTTACCTCAGGTATTCTCTCTGGTTCCTGCACAGAAGCACTGGTCATGTCTATGACACTGCCACCAGCATGAAGCACAGACATTTTCACAGCACATGACAATCATGCAAGGGTCCTTGAAATTGGATACAAAGAAAATAGATCTTTACTTTGACTAATCTCAAGCTGAAGCACCTAGCATTTCCTTCAGGAGACCACAACAATGTTGGCAGTTTCTGAGATGTGGCCACCAACACAAAACACACATTTCACAGCATGTGACAACTGTGCAATTCCCAGTGTGTCCATTCCTGCTCCTTCCTACTTCCAAATGACCATCTTCAGTAAGCCTGCTGTGAGACCTTGTGACTTAGTATACCAGCAAAAGTGTATGTACTCCTATGGCTAAGGCTTCAGCTCAAGATTAAGTAGGATCAGTCCAGTCTTTGCCTGGTTCTCGATGTACAGCCCCCAGACCACTGGCCACATATTACGTGGAGGTCACGTCCCTACCCCTGTTAAGGGGATTGTCAGCTCAGATTCATTCACTTGCAAATGGGGATCTTGCTCATCATTTCTTCTGGTCATCAGTGTCCAGAATTCTCACAGAATTTTTATAGAAAATCACCTCTGAGTGTTCATTGATCACCCAGAGCCCTAAAATTTCAGCTTACCTAGTGGAGGAACAGGCTGCCCTTATATTGTCCTTTATTAATTGCCTCATAGGTACGGTTTTATTGGAGTTTTCCCCTTTACATGTCTTAGATTGGTAAAATCATTTTCATATCAGAAATTCCCAATCCTATCTGGACAGATGGCTGGTTTTTTTTTTTTTTTTTTTTTTTTTTTTTTGTCTTTTTCCTTTTTATCCGTACCAGGGATCGAACCCACGACTGCCTGCTTGCAAGGCAGGCGCTTATGCCGCTGAGCTAAATCCCTAGCCCCTAGATGGCTGTTTTGAGAAGACAGCTGTGATAGGAAGAGAGTGCATGGTGGACACAGCAAACCAGGGTCCCCTGTGGCTCTGTTGTCACAAGCACCATGGGCTCACCTGTGTTTCCTCCCTCAGGTACCCAGACTCATGGTATCGTGATATCACATCCAACAAGAAGTTCTTCTCCCTTGCTGCCACCTATAGAGGCGCCATCGTGGGAATGATAGTAGCTGAAATTAAGAGCAGGACCAAAATACATAAAGAGGTACGTCTGGTGATAACTTTGACTCACAGTTGCTGGACAGGGTTATGGGGGCTCAAGACAGACTCACACCACCTATTGCATGGCCTTCCCTCTTAGGAGCTTGTGACCTGAGAGAGGAGACACTGTCCTGTTGGTCTCTGTGTGTGTGTGACACTAACAGTGGACTTACTGAGGATGGCAGTTTGTAGGAAGGGACAGGAATGGCACATTGGGAATTGCACGGTTGTCATGTACGTGAAAATGTCTGTGTTTTGTGTTGGTGGCCACGTCTTAGAAACTACCCACACTGCTGTGGTATCTTGAAGGGAGTGCTAGGCACTTCAGCTTGAGATTAGTGAAAGTAAAGATCTACTTTCTTTGTATACAAATTCATGAACCCCTCCAACACCTCCTGTCCCAAAACCCTTAGAAATCTGGAGCCGCCTTGGTGGGTCCAATTCTAAATGTAAACTATAAGATCATGGCCGGGACTTCTTATTCTTTGTGGTTGACCTCAAGATTCTGTTGAAAACTCAGTGATGACTGGTGTTTACCACACATGTTTCCTTTTGTGTGGGACACTGTCTCACCTGCCCCCACCACCTTGTTCCTTGATGCTCCCTGCCTGTGGCTTTTTCCAAGTACTCCAGGTGATTATTCAGCTCCATAGTGCATGGTGACTGGGTTCTATGGCCCTATGAAACATGTTTGTTTTCTCTTAAGACAGGCACAGAGACCCCTTTGCTTCTGAAAGGACATCTCAGGAGAGAGACCCTCTGCTCCTCTCTCCCAGCCCAGACCGTGCTGAGAAGCTAGGGAGAGTCAGCTTGGGTCAGGACCACTTGAGTGGTTTCAGCCAGGGCTTTGAGTAACAAAGTGATGAAGATGCTTTTTCTGTGAGTTGGCTGTGTCAGCAGGTTCATTGCATTATGGAGCTGCTCAGACAGGGAGCAGAGAATAGGCTGGGCCCACTCAGCCATAAGCACAGGAGAGCCATTTGGCCAACAGTGAACAGGAAGCAGAAAGGCTGAGTTGTGTAGTGTCCTTTCTTTAGATAGAGAACTATGGTCCTCAGGTCCTTTTTGTTCTTTATGAAGAAGGAGAATGTAAAAACCTTGTGGTTGGATTCATGATTCTCCTTTCAGAATTCCACATCTGGAACGAGAAAGAAGCATAGTGATGTGGGTGGTAGAAAAGGGTGGGCAGCTACCCAAAGCATTGTGTACTTTGTGTGTGGATGGGACGGGGAATCGTACTAGAAATTAAATCCAGGGCCTTTCACTCTGAGCTACTTCCCCAGATCTTTCTATTTTCAGACAGGGGGGTATCAATAAGTTGCCCGTGTTAGGTTCCACTTTGCAACCTTCCTGCCTCAGCCTCCCAAAGTACCAGTAATATAAGTGCATGCCACTATACCTGGCCTGCTTTTTTTTTTTTTTGTAAGACAAGCTCTGTGTGCCTCAGGTTTACCTTGAGCTTGCCATTCTCCTGCCATGACCTTCTGAGTGCTAGACCGATTGTATACTTCTTTAAACCATTAAAACTGCATTTGTCCAGCAGCCTTGTAGCATGTCCATTGCCACATGTTGAGTGCCTGTTAAGTGTCCACATGGAATAGTTGTTGCCTTTTTACCTGCCTAACTACCTGGTTCTGGCATAAAGTAACCCTCCTGTTCTCACCAGCCCACCCCATCCTGAGGAAAGCTCCTCTTGTGTGTGTGAGTGTTCTCCTAGCAGATTGTTACCAGCAGGGCCCAAGTGTTTTTGTTCCACGGGCAGCTGGGAGATTCCTCTTTATCCTCTCTGTTCTGCCCCTCTTGTTTCCGGTGGCCCCAGGAAGTGGATGCATAAACCACAGCTAGGCTCTGCTGTAAGCCCTTGTGCCTGAGAGTTATCCTGACTTTACCTCTTAACTTTTTCTTTAGGATGGAGATATTCTAGCCTCCAACTTCTCTGTGGACACACAGGTTGCATACATTCTAAGTCTGGGAGTAGTGAAGGAATTCAGAAAGCACGGCATAGGTAAGGGGCTACAGGTTCATGGTTTGGGCGCACCTCCACCTATGGCAGTCAACTGCTTCATTCCAATGGCTCCAGCTTATATGACTCCGAGTCTTCACCCTCCCAGACCCCCATCTCTCTCTTCCCAGCATGTCTCCCCACCCCACTAGCCTTCACCATCCTCTTCCCACAGGTCTCAATGAGAGAACAGCCCCTTTTGTTCCTCCCACTGCCAGAAATATAGCTATATCTGTTGGCAAGATGTCCTTGACTCAGAGCAAAAAACATAAACATAAATGAAGGAAACAGCATTTGCTAGCACTTGTCGGCTGCCGTGGCACCCAATTCCCATCCCACTCAACAGCCACACAGCACTGAGCAGCGGAGTCTTAGTTTTGAGTCCAGGTGCACCTACTGCATGTTCCCTGGGCTCCAGTTTACACTTTTGTTGCCTAAAAGGTTGGTGAGTCTCCACTTTAAGTCCAGCCCACAGAAAGGTATCTGCAGGCCACACTTGTGACCCACAGTGGTCTGCAGCTTATGACCTCCATTTGAGTTTTTAAGGGCTTTGACTATAGGGGGTTATAGAAGGCTGCTTTTGGATCCAGGGCCAGCAACCTCTCAACTCCTACAGATGATATGGCCTCATTTTCCTTTTTGACTGTCCCACACAATGTAACTTTCACCTCTTCTCCCAAGGTTCCCTTTTACTTGAAAGTTTAAAGGATCACATATCAACCACTGCCCAGGACCACTGCAAAGCCATCTACCTGCACGTCCTCACCACCAACAACACGGCAATAAACTTCTATGAAAACAGAGACTTTAGGCAGCATCACTATCTGCCTTATTACTACTCCATCCGAGGGGTTCTCAAAGATGGCTTCACTTATGTCCTCTACATCAATGGTGGCCACCCTCCCTGGACTATCTTATATCCTTTACTGCTGCTGGAGAGAGCTCATGGCTGGAGGGCTGGAGGGCTGGTAGAGGCAGGGAGCTACCTGGGACTGCAGTCACCTTTCAGTGATAGTCAGGTGACTGACTTTTACTGTGGGCAGATCTGGCACAAACAGTCTGGTCACTCATTGGAAAACAGGTACTGTCTGGCACTCTGTGTTCTCCCTCTTCAGCCTGGCAGGAACAATGGGTTTTAACTCTCTTGGTCTGAGATCCATCTACCCACTCAGCAAGTATTGATGGGGAGCCTCTGATTCTAGGTGTGCTGCTTAACAGTGAACAGAACTTCCCTGTGTGGAAGGAGGCCAGGAGACATTGTGGCAGTTATAATGTGGTCCAGAGGGTACTGGCCAGGAGTCCATGTAGATTGTCAAGTGAATGAGTCTAGGGTTCACTCATTCAGAGACAGCAAAGAGGAAAATGCAGTGATCCCAACATCTGTAGGTCTCCTGGATCACGTGAAGTCAGCTCCCTATAGATATCCACATATCCAGGGGTCAACATTGTTTGGGTACCCCTTATGATAGCGACAGAGCTCTGTCCCTTCTGCTACTTGAGTTGTCTTTTGCTCAGCCCCTGTCACCCTACCTGTGTGTCACCATAGTATGGGTGTCTTGTTTGCTCATCTGAGGCTTTACCCAGAAGGTATGTGGTTCTCAGGTTCCATCCCTTATTCTCCAAAGTGGAAGCTATCTCATAAACCTTTCCAGTGCTCTGCAGAGTTTGGCAGAGCTTTTGAATGCTTTGAGTCTTGTGTGCCTTCTGCACACAATGCTGTGTGGGTCATTGAGTGGACCCCTGAGGACAATGCAGGTGGGCAGGCAGGGCAGGTTGGGCACAAGTCAGTCTTCCTTGACAGAGCCCACAGACTACATCCAGCATCTGGGTTCAGCACTCGCCAACCTGAGCCCCTGCTCCATCCCGCACAGGATCTACCGCCAGGCCCACAGCCTGCTCTGCAGCTTTCTACCGTGGTCCGGGATCTCCACCAAGGGTGGCATTGAGTACAGCCGCACCATGTGATGCCAGTGGGGCAGGCTTCACCAGGCTCCACACTTTACCACCCTGCAGAGCCTACCTTTTTGTCCACCTGATCTCTGCTGCTCTCTACAAGGAGCTGGCAGCCACTTGCCAGCCTGTTGGCCTGCCTGCCCCAGCTGCAGGTTCGGTGCTACGTGGGGTTGGGAACAGAGCATGTATCCAGTGTCCAACAGGTAGGAGTGGCCCCCACCTCCCCATGAGAGACTGGCGAGTGGTGGGTGGAGAGGGCATAGCTCTCCTCAAGAGCACAGAGCTCCAGGACTTAGCCTCCCGCTGAGGCAGTTAACATGGAACAGTGGGCACTACCAACAACAAACACAGAAGTCTGTAGATAGGCATCTGTGAGTTAAGGTTTGTAAAGGAGAGGCAGGATGCCAGACATCTTTTTTTTTTTTTTTTTGTTTTTTTTGTTTTTTTTTGTCTTTTTCATTTTTATCGGTACCGGGGATCGAACTCACGACCGCCTGCTTGCAAGGCAGGTGCTTATGCCGCTGAGCTAAACCCCCAGCCCCAGCCAGACATCTTGAGCCTCTGACCAAAACTATTTTCTGAATTGGTTTTTTCTGTTAAATAATGCAATCATGTGATTCAACAATATAGTCCCTCCTACCTATATTCCCTAGTTACCCAGTTTCCCCTTGCCAGAGGTACCACGTGACTTGTCAGTTTTCTTATTGCTAAGACAAAATATCCAACACCCAAAGTTAGATGAAAAAATATTTATTTCAGCTTGCAGCTTGTAGAGGTTTCAGTCCATAAATGGCTGGCTGCAAAGCAGGGTGGCAGGGCAGAAAGGCATCACAGAGCAGGCAGAATGCAGCAGCAGACAACAGCAAAACAACAGAAGTAGCAGCAACCGTCATTTCTGTTCTTTATATTCCATCTCTGCTACCCACTGTTTGAGTAGGTAGCACTTGTACCTAGGCTGGGGCACTTTTAATCCCAGCATCACACACCCTAGATCCAGCCACCTCCAAAAATCCTCACCTATGACTATATGAGACTTTGAGGGAACTTTGGTCTGGTTTCCAGAAATTCCACACATACCAACGTCCTCCATGGGCTTGGCTCTGGTAGGCACCTTGGAGGTGAAACTTATGCCTAGAGGCAGCCACTCCGGTATGTGTGAGTGCCTCTCAGAGCTGCTCTCCCCCAGGCCCAAAGGCCGCCAGAGCCCAACTGCTTGTGTATGACTTGAGCCACACTCACATAACAGGCGCTGTGGCTACCTGCGGTGCATATCCAAGGGTGGAGTTTTATTTGTGCCAGGACTAAGAGGAGCCTGATGCCCAGTAGCATGTATTATGGGCCTGGAGAAGGGATCATGCTCTGGGGGTGCCTTGCCCACCCCCATGCAGCCCATAGGCTAGGCAAGGAGTAGGTGAGTGTTGCCTTCACCCTACCCTGTTCTTTCTCCTCCAGGCACCTTGACTCTACTATTTGCTTCTGGAAACTTCTGCCTTCACCTAATGCACTGGTCCTGCCTCCATACACTTACACCAGGCCTCTGCCATTGCAATGCCCTCCCGTCAACTCCTTCCTGCAAAGCCAGACTGAACTTTCTGCTGCAAAGGAGAAATAGTTTGTGGACACCATTGAACTTGAAGACATAGGAACTTTAGAACAGTAGGAACACGGTCAAGGGAATGCCAGGCCTTTTGTTAAGAACCAGCATGAAGAAGCCTCCATGAGAAGCTGGGAAGGGATGGACAGAGGAAGCATAACTCTTCATGAGAGCACAGAGCTCTAGGGCTTAGCCTCTAGCACAGACTGGCCATGGGACATTTTGCTGCTTCTCAGTAACCTGCCTCCTGCTACACATTTCCCACTCTGGGGAGATCATCCTGCCTGTTGACTCATGGAATGCTCCATGTAGCTGACCTGTAGACAGATAATGATGAGGCCCTGGGGGCCCTAGCCTGCCTGTCCTCTATGAGCTGAAACTCCAAGCCTGGCTAGATACAAGAGGAGGTCAGTCCCCCCACATTGGGCAACTCTGCTACGATGGACTATTGTTGCCTGGCCTTAGGGGCAAGAGACAGACAGTCCATGCTTGTGGCCCTTCAACCTCTAAGAGCAAAGGCTGTGTCAGCCTCATAAATCATGCTTGCAGTGTGCATATGTCACACGCGTCTAGCATCCCTCACCCTGAACCTCAGGCTGCTTGCTGTCATGTCCTGCCCAGCACCGTTTGCTCTGTCACAGGAACCAGGGCAGAATGTCTGCAGTCCCTCACTGTGCAGCTTGGATAGGAGAGAGGAACAACCTTGCAGATGGGGCCTTGGTGACTGAGTGCTTTCTTCCTGGAACAGACCTCTGTACTGCCTCAAACAGTCCTCATGATACAGACAGGCACCAAACAGGAGAAGGGTCCTACTCCCTTAACAGTGTTGGCCAAATTGTGCTGCCTAGCATTGGCTGTATGCTGAGGCCCCAAATCTGTGTCCCCTCTCCTCTCAACAGTGATCATGTGATTTTTATTTCTGTCCTATATGGTCAAGGAAGAGTCTACCAGAAGGCTCCCCCTTGGACATTTGTAATTCCAGCTCAGAGGCCTTGCCCCTGCCTACCCTCCCACCTGCCCTCTAATCACAGCAGTGTCCAGCCCAGTGTTGAATAGATTGTAGTGTTTTGTCTCATTACAAATAAATAGACTATAACGGGTCTCATCCTGTCTCCAGCATTTGGCTCACTGTGCCGGGCTATGTCTAGGCACTCAGGAGCTGCTGCTTGCTGGTATTCTGGGGACATCTTTGCCAGCAGAGCCCTCTCTATAATAACCCCTGCTGAGGAATGAGTACTGGGAGAAGGCCTCTATAGCTGAAAGCCAGAAGTGATGGATCCTAAAAGTTTCTCACTAGCTGTCCTCCTTAGGTCAGGCTGGCTCCCTGGTTCTTGAACTCCAGCTCAGGCCTTGTCCAGGTGGGCTGTGTCCTGGCTTAGAGAAGGCTCCAAAGGCAATTCAGCCTTACGGTCAACAAGAGCCCTGGGCCAGCCAGCCTCAGACCAGGGGCTTCTACCATCTTCCCTTGGAAACCTGGCCACATAGGAGGTAGCATGTTTGCATCCACAGTAGACAGGTGGGAACTGTCTTGGGCTGGGGAATTACCAATAGCTGCAGTTTGTGACGAAACGCTACAAAGCCTACATGTGTGCTTTACTACTCGTGTCCCCATATGCCCAATACCAGCCAGGGAGGCAGAAGCCTGAGCCTAGCGTATTGTCTAGTCTGTCGCCTACCATTTTACAGAGTACAAGCACCAGTAAAAGTATTTTCATACTATCATCTCAGACATAGGGCCACACCCCAGGTGGTGGGATTATGTGGCTTGTCCAGCATTGGACTATGACATCTGGGGCAAGTGGCCAATTCCTTCCTCTTCTCCCACTGAACATTTTGTACAGTTTATAGAGTGGCTTAGTTTCTAAGCCTGAGTGGGAGCCATATCATGACTCCCATGAAAAAAAACTTTCCTATTGTCATCACAGATTCTGGGCCAAAGCTGGCTGCATCTACTATGCTGTGGACAATAACATCTCCAAAACTACCAGGAACAGCACCAACGTTGGAGAGTAGCTTATTCTGGATTTCACCTGCTTGCTGCCCTGTTCAGGTTGTATTCCAGTGGCCAGTCTGTTGACTCCTCAGGTAGCCACACTCTGATTGACCTTGGTATGTATCTTGGAGCAATCAGTAGATGCTGCTTCCTCTATACCAACAAAATGCCAGAACCCTGCCTGCTATCCTATCATATGGTTCCAGGCTCATCCAGTGACAGGGGTGTACCCCACTGCAGGGCCCTCTCTGGGGAAAGTCAGAGGTACCAAGCAAAGCTCAATCAGGGCAGAGGCTGGTATCACTGCAAGTATAGGTGGCCCTGATAGTGCCCCAAGATCAGGTAGCTGGATACTACACATGGACACAGGTACATAAAACCAGGTAAACGTGCTAGGCTTGGCCCAGTAGAAGCATTGTGCTTTGAGTCATATAGCCTAGGGCCTTTAGGCAAGAATGTCACGCTTACTAAGGGTCAGCATTGAGATTAAGGAAATGACTCCTGAGGGCCCTTGGATCATTGTAAGAATAAGTGTCCATGTACCTAGACAGGGTTGCGGTAAGTGTCTCTGCTCAAGGTAGTTGTGGCCTTCCCAGCCTGTCAGGCACCTTGGCCACCCTGCTTTGGTGAGCAGCCACAGGATGACTCCATGGTACCTCTACTCCTGGCCTAATAACCAAAGCCCCACAACCACAGAATTGGGGCAGCAAACTTTGAGCACTATTCAGGCAGAAAGGAAGTACAGTCCAAGGGAGAAGCAGAAGCATCACAACTTCCCCAGGACTTAGGACAGAGACCACCCTAAAGGAAGCCACTCTGCCCCAGTCATAGCTTCATGAGTATCTAGGGTGTCCCACACTGACCCAAAACCAGCATGTCATGACATGCTTTTCTGCTTCTCTGTCTGCTTGCAGTGCTTTCCTAAGAAAGTTTGTGCAGACTAATTTAGAAAGGAACTAACTAAAGGGAAGTTTCCTCTGGACCACCATGTGGCAGCTGCAAGTGACTTTTCTTGGGGAGTGAGCCTAGACTGTGGCTTCAGGATACTCCCAAACAGCAGCCTAACAGTAGCTGTGCTGTTATAATTCTGCAATCAGAAAGGGCTAGAGAACTTATACCTACTGCGCATGGTGAGTTGGGCCATGGCTCTATCCTTTCTGGGCTAGAATAGAGTACTTGGGATAACTCGACTCCTCATGTGACCATTGACCTCTCCTATAGCAATTTTGGAAACATCCAGCCTTTCCTACCACCCAAATTGACACTGTGTCCCTTTTGCCACATTTTACTGGCAAAGACCTGAGATACTGCATAAGGGTCAGAATATGGGACTTGGTTCACCAGGGGTCATCTAAGTGGCCAATGACTAACCACAGGCTGCGTGTCCCAAGATCTGGACTCTGGGGAAGTCTGCTCCTGTCTAGAAGTGAGGGGATTGGGCCCCCTGACTTCTGAACATTTCTGACCTTGTCTTGCCGGCTTGTGACATGTATCACTTCTGCCTGGTGCCCCTGGCAGCAGCCCCACCCAGGCCTCCATGGGTGACAGGTTCAATCAGACCCTCTGTGTCTTCTCAGCAGCCTCTAATGTTTTGCCTTGGGTAGTAGTCTCAGGTTTATCTCCCTCGAGGTCCAAGGCAGCGAGTTTTGTGGGAAAGGGCAGAAGCAGCTTGTTTTTCACCTACTGAAACTCTCTGGGTAGCATATTGGCCAGCTATGTCCCTCCTGTACCTACCCCATCCCCTGCTGCTGTTGGACACAAGTTTCCAAAATCCTGCTGTCACTATTCTTCCTCTTGAGGTCACTATCTGCTTCAACTTCAGGTTGAATCAAATGCTCACTAGAGGCTGTGTCTTTGCAGCTCCACTCCCAGGAAGCCCTCTTACCTAGCTTGAGACTGTCATGTACCCTAGCTTTAGGGCAAAAGTGCCCTGGAGTGGACTTGGGCTGCTTGTCCAACTGAACTGGAGTGAAGACAGAGAGACAAGAAGGTACAGGCCTTGGCTTTTAATGTGATTAGACCTGAAGGCTTCCCAGCCTCTCAGGAACCTGATTCTCCACTTGGCCTGGCCTCCCTGCTACAAGGGGCTGACTGGATTTGGAGCAGGCTGCAAGGGCAGGGTCATGCTTCCATTTCTTTGGTCCCTCTCCTAGGACTTCCCCCTCCCTATGCTTTTCTGAGGCGGGCCCAGGTCTGGAGCTGGGCAGCTGTGGAGGGCAGAGGACATCCCACTGGAGAGGATAACTGTTGGGACTGAGTCCTTCCTCTGCGGACCTGCTGCCTTCTCCTCAGCCATCCTTCCCTGACTGTCCCCAGCCCTGGCACTGGGATTCCTATGACCTCTCCAAGACCCCAGATCGAGTTCTCTTACACAAAGGACACATGGCCTCCTCCAGGGTTCCCCAGGACCTCTTGGGTCGGAGCCCCAAGCCCTCATGAGGCTCAGGCTGGGGGAGGGGACCCTTTGCTGGGTCCATGCTGGAGCTGGAAGCTGAGGAAAGAGGAAAGGTAAGCCATTCAGACAGACCCAAAGGGAGACTGGAAGGGAAGCTGGCAGCAATACCCTGGGGTCCCCAGAACTGGACATGCTTCAAAACAGAAAGGGATTGGGTGGCGTTTCTTTGAAAGAACTAGTGAGGGGGGAGAGGGAGGTGAATGGTTCAAGCTGGCAGGACCCTAATCTATCCTGAACCCTTCAAATGGAGAAACTGAGGTTGAATAAGAAGAGGGTTGTCCAAGGTCCCTCTTCATAGTGAGCTAGGGCAGGAACGCAGAAGTCTTGAGCCCAGAGCTCCTCTTTGCCTAACATATCCTGCCCATTGGACACTCCAAACCTGACCCAGCTGTGTACTACCACCACCAAGACCTGACGGGCCTGGGGATTTCATGACTTGGGCACATCTGTGGTTTGAGCCTAACTGGGGCACAGAGGATAGGGACAGATGATAAAGATCGTGGCCTCTTGTACAAGACATTACTTCTTGGGGGAAGGGAAATGGGCATATTCCTAGTCCCTGGAGAAGACTTGAATGGACAGGGGTCACCTGGGTCCCTTGAGGTCTTTACCTCCATTCCCAAGTCATGCCTCAACAGAGCTCACCTGTATTTCCCAGATTGTCCCTGGGAAGTTGGGCTTCCAGAAAAGCTGAGCAGGTGCTGTTACCTGGACCCAGAGTCCCCTGTGGCAGGTCCAGGGGCCAGGCTGAGTCCTCAGGCTGTGGCAGGCAGTCTCTGACCAGGAGCTGGTCCTGAAAGTGGCTCTCACCTTGGCTAGTGGGCTGCATGTGGCCTGGCAGGTAGAGAGCAAGACTCCGAAGGTGGCGTAGCCGGAAGTTCTTGGGCTTGCTTCCCTGGACACCAGGGCACTGCTCCTGCTGGGTCCCCAGCCCCCCCTCGTAGATGTTGGGTGGTGTATCAGGATGGCTGGGGTGTCCTCCAGCCCAGCTCACTGCATCTGCAGAGGGGAAAGGAGGAAGGTAGCAGCTAGCCAGCCCCAGTGTTCATGAAGGGAGAACGTAGGTTCCTGCCTCTGACACCAGTTTCTGTAGTAGGCTCTCCTACCATCCTATCTACCCTTGGCTTATACATCTATAAAATGGGCTTGATTTCCTGCCTCTGCCCTACTCCCACCCTCCTCACTCTTCCAGCTGAGAGGGACACCTAAGAAGCCTAGAACCTTCACACTGAGATCCCATTTAGCATTTCAAGCCTCTTGTGCCTTGTGATGCCCCTGGCCCCGAAAAGAATATCCAGGTCCAAATATAGAAGTTGCACAGTGGGTCCCAGGTGATATGACCAGCCCAAAGTCATGAGGCCTGGATCAGTGACATTCCCCTCTTTCAACCATGGATGTCTCTGAGGCCACCCCAGTAGCTTTGGGCCCATGTTGGGAAAAAAGAACATTTCTTCTGCCACTCATTGCTGCAGCCTGGCACCTTCTCTTATGCGCAGCTCAGAGAATGCACAGACCAAGGCTTCCATGGAGGGCCAGTGTGCTGGGGGAGGAGTGGCCAGGCCTTGTGTGCTGCAGGGCCCTGTTCTCCCCTGCCTAAGGGGTGGGGCTGGAGGACTCCCGTGGCAACTGGCTCTTATGATGTCACAGGAAAGACATAGCTTTTCTAGGCAGACTCCTAGAGTTTGGGATGTTCAGGATGATGTCCAGGGCAGGGGCAGGGTAAGGAGGAGGGCAAGGGAACAGGCAAAAACCCCAGAGGAAATTCCTGGTTTCTCTGGTTTAGGATAGACTTCATAAAACAGAGTCATCTATGGCAGACTGGAGAGTCATTTTCTGCAGTGACCTCTTGGTATCTTAGCTTCTTTCTGTGTGGGTTGGAAATGAGGGTTTGGAATAAAGAACTGGTAAGGCTTTTAAGCAATATATTAGGTTCCTCCAAATATGCAAAATTAATAGGGTATATAGAGATGTTTTTAAAAAGATTTATTAAGGAAATTAGCTCATGTAATTATGGAGATCAAAATATCCCACAACATACTGCCTGCAAACTGGAAAATCACAAAAGCCAATGGTGTAATTAAATCCAAGTCTGAAGACCTGAGAACTGAGGTGGGAATGGGGGTAGAGCTGGTATAAGTGGAAAGGCCTGAGAACCAAGAACTCCAATGTCCAAGGGCAGAGAGTGGATAGATCTCCCAGTTTAAGAAACTCTTATATTTTTAACTGGACCCCTCATCGATTGGGGGATACCCACCTGCTTTATTCAATGTACCAATTCAGATGCTAATTTCTTCTCAAATCATTATCCCAGATACACCCAGAAATGTTTTGCTAGCTATCTGGGAATCCCTTCACACAATCAAGTTGACACATAAACTTAAGGATTTCAGGCAAAAATTAAAGAGCTGATCCTGAAATTCGTGTGGAACTATAAGGAAGTCCAACTAACCACAGAATTCCCATTTCCATTTGTGGTACTGGGGACTAAAGTTATGGCCTTGCACATTCTAAGAAAGTGCTGTACTACTGAGCTATGTCTTCTACCTTTTTTAACTTTAGGGGAGTATGTTTGAGACAAGTTTCTCAAGTGTAGCTCAGTGATCCAGCCTCCAAAGTAACTATAACTGCACCCATCCTATCCCACCATCCTATCTGGACCCCTTTACCTTTCCTTCCTTTTTATTATCAGACAAAACTAGAATGAACCCACTCCTGCTAGGTGCCACATAGTCCACTAAACTGAAAATTAGAAAGGAGCCAGTTTTAGAAAAAATAGACGTAGCTATCACTCCTAATAAAGCCAGTGAACATAAGGAAGTTCCCTATGCAAGGAAAGTAACTTGCCCCTACAAGAAAAGTAACTTGATGTTAATTAAGCCACTATTTTGCTGTTTCTTTGTCCTTGCTCAAGCTACATTAAAAACCCAACTGTTCTGCCATGCCCATTGGAGCACCTTTCTATATTCACAGAAAGGATGCTGATCATTCATGAATCCATAATGCCAATTTGACCACGAAACTCAATTTGTTGAATTTTCTTCAACAGTTCTTTTTGAAGAGCAGTTTTTTTTTATTTCAATAAATTCAGTTTATTCCAAAAGATTTTTAAAATTTAAATACCATGCTTTTGATACATTTAAAAAATGTTACCTAACCTAACAAAGGTTTCCTCATAAAGTGTCTTTTAGAAAATCTAGGTTTTACCTTCATTACATCTAGGTTTTTGAACCACTTTAATTTTTGCGTACACTGGCAGATTAAGCAGGCAGTTCATTAATTTGACATGTATTTTCAGTTACAAAAACATCTGATGAAATGACTTCGGGACCCCCTTCAAATTCTACACACTTAAGTCCTTAAGCGTCTAATACGTGGCCAATACCATGATCCATGGAGAAAGGCGTCACTAGACCCTGCACTTTTGGCCCGGAGCTCTAGCGCACCACACCCAGGTCTCCTTCCAGTCCGCCCCTGGTGGAAGTGGCCATGGTTGCCGAGGCAACTGCTAAAGAACCCATGCTCTGTACCGATTGTCAACCTGTCGCGAAGACTAAACTGGCTGCCTTGTCAAGTCCGAGAACACGGAGGCGAATATGTCTCTGGGCACTCCGCTATCAGAATCTTTTGCCTTTCACGCCACAGTTACTTTTTTGGTAGCTTAGTCCTTGGGGCCTATCATTTTACACATGGTAGACAGAAAGTGTGCTATGCACAGGACACATAAGGGAAACCTAGCTTCATAGAGTGAGGAAATGAGAAGCAGTGTAAGAAGCGCCTAACACATTGTGAAGCACACAGTATGTCTTCAGGTTGTCAGTGTCAACTGCCTGATTAGGATTGCGTAGTTTCAAGATTTGTATTGTCCTTGCAGGGCCGGAATGGCAATGTCCGAGGCTCTAGGCGCCTCCGATGCGCCCTCTGCTGGCCATTTTTCCTCGTGCGCGTGCACGCCCTGCGGCTCTTCCGCCTCCCGTCTTGTTTGACCCTGACGGTGTACCGTCCACGGCTCAATTGGTTGCCATAGAAACTCCGGAGCCCTGGGCCTCTGGACGTTGAGGATCTGACTCCTGTGACTCTGGCTCCTGAGGACCGGAGCGCGATGTCTTTCCGCGACCTTCGAAGTAAGGCAGCCAGTCCACTGTGCCTGCATGTCTTCTGGAGACTCGGGGTTCCACCAGAGCCCTCTTAGTGCTCTGAACCTCGGGCCGGGCCCCCGGCTATATCGTCGCTTTGTGATCATGGAAAGTTCTGTCAAAAAAAAATAAAAAGAAATTTCTGTCGGTTACTGGCCACGGGTGACTAGAGAATACTTAAAATGTGGCCACTGCGGCTGTTCAATTTTGCCTAATTTTAACTGAATTACAGCCTTCTGAGAATATTTGTTGTGGAGGACTGCGTGGAAAATGCTGAGTGGGAATAGTTGAGAGCTTTGAAGTGAGAGCAGATGATGACTAGAACTACGGTTTTTATTTTCATTTTATTTTCGTTTTTGCGGCTTGCTGTGTACTGTTCTATTTATATGCGTTATTTCATTTGATTTTCTATACAGTTACAGTGACCTGTGTTTATAAATCAGTATTTCACATTCAGTATTTTATTTTAGTCCTCTAACAGCGATGTAGTGGTACCCTTGGGTGATACACTTCAAGGTACAAAGAGAGTGAAGTGTGCTTTAGGTCCCAAAGGTAGAACAGAATGGGATCAAGGATTAATACAAAGGCTGATTAAAAATATTTTGCCATTTGTGCACTGTCATTTTGTAAAGTAATTGTCATCTTTGATAATTTTCATTCCCCCACTACCTGTCTTACTGCATTGTTCCATTTATTATGAGTGTTAAAGAGAAAGATAGCAAAGAAAGAAAAGCTGCAGTTAACACCATAACCCAATAGACAGGAGCTTTTTAAAGGGCCTTATGTGAACTATGGTTTTGTAATTTTTCAAGGCATCTTTAAAGGGGTAGCAAAATTATGTTTATTTACTAATTTTGATCAGAAAAATAAGCCAGGAAAATTGATGATATTCATTAGATTTTAACTGAATGGAGCAGTTCCTTCTAATCACAGTTGTATAGTAAGGATAAAGCACTAACTTAATGTGTATTCGTTTTAAATTGTTATGTATTTTAAATTGCCAAGAAAAATAAACCATTTTGTATATCTGAAAAAAAATACCACAACCCAATTTTCCTATATAGCATGTACTTCCATTGAATTTAAATGGATTTTTTATTTCAAAATTTTACTTATTTTTGTACCAGAGATCAAACTCACTACTTTGCGCCAGCCACAGGGGCACTTATACTGCTCAGCTAACTCCTGGGCCAAAACAGATGTTTTTGAGGTAGCAAATTAGGTATTTTAGAGAAAGCAGAGGCAATATCTTAACTAACAAGTAGTTACTGTTTGATGAGAATTTGACTGAGTTACATTTTATCTTGTGCAGATTTTATAGAGATGATGAGAGCCCTGGGGTACCCACGACATATTTCCATGGAAAATTTCCGGACACCCAACTTTGGACTTGTATCTGAAGTGCTTCTCTGGCTTGTGAAAAGGTCAGAACCTACTTTACTGAAATTGACGGATGAATACTAGGTTTCAATCATTGGCCACCCAGAAAAAGGTCACTATTGTGATGCAAGAGGAGAGTTCTTACAGTTCTTACAGACTTATTTTGTAACCTGTTGAAAATCAGCTGAATTTGCCAAGCATGGTGGTGCGTGCCTATAATCCCAGCGTTCAGAAGGCAGAGGCAAGAGGAAATCAGCCTGGGCTACATAGTGAGTTAAAGCTAGCCTGAACTGCATAGTGAGACCTTGTCTCAAAACACAAAAATAATATAAAAATCAACTGAATTTTACAGTGGAAGGGTACTCAGTAGAGTGATAACCTGCTGCTTTTCATTTCTTCATATAGAATGATGTATTCCCCTGCACTGTGTTAGATATAATTTAGATTTCTCTTCGTATGAAAAAATCTAATGATTCCAAGTCAGCAACGTTTTGTGTTAAGGCTAGATAATAAATATTTTACGTTTTGCTACACATAGGATTTAGGCTACAAAAGGTCCCTGTCACATAGTCTTTGGTCTTAACAACAACAAAAACCCTTAGCTTGCAACTTGTATGAAAATATGTCGAAGGCTGCAGACTGCTGACCTTGGTGATAAATGACTCAAAGAAAGTAGTCAGTAGCTGTGCTTCTTCTCAAAGTGAACTGTTTAGCCTGGTGTCTGTGTAGAGTTAAAGGCTGTTGGCTAGAGTAACAGTTATGATTTTTAAAATTTACTTTTAACTGGGCATAGTGGTACATGCCCATAATCCCAGAACTCGGAAGGCTGAGGTAGGAAGGGTCAGTGTGAGTTTGAGGCTACTTTGGGCTTCTGAATGAATGAGTGTGAGGCCAGCCTGTACTACTGTACATAGTGAAACCCTGTCTCAAAAATAAATGATAAATTTTTTTTGGTACCGGGGATTGAATTTAAGACCTTGCGTTTGCCGAGCAGGCACTTATGCTGCTGAGCTAAACCCCCACCCCCACCCTAAAAACATTTATTTAAAAGATTTTTTCTTCAGTTCAAAATGTTCAAATGGGGAGAGGAACAAGTAAGAGGGGAGGGGAAAAGAAAAGAAGGAAAAGTAAAAAAAATGAGAAAAGGAAAACATGGAAACAGCTTTTGTAAATGAAGAGAGAAGAATGGGTTAAAGGGAGAGTAGAGGAATGGGAAAAAAAACAAGTTATATTATATGCAGATATAAATTCTCCATGATGAATGTGATCATTTTGTATATCTAAAATGTACCAATAAAATCTGATATATAAAAAAAGAAAAATTTTCTTTAAATTTCTTCAGGGCTGGGAGATAGAGCTCAGTGGCATAAGTGCCTGCTTATTGGCAAGCGCACGGTCCTGAGTTTGATTCCAAAAAAAAATTTCAGTTATGACTACTTTCACAAAAAAAAAAAAAAACTCAAGGTCTCAGATTGGTTTTGTAAGCTAAGCCCCACATTTGATTTTTAAATCACTTGAATTTGTTTTGAGGTGGGAATTTGTTCCCTTTAATAGTTTGGTTGCTTTTAAAGTTTTTCTTACTCTCACAGGCTTAAGTGGGAACTCAGAGAGTCCTGTATTAGAGATCCGCTGCCCTTTCGGGTGCCCATTTTCTCTTCATGGACTTTGTGTGAATGAATTTGTATTTGTCCTGTCTCTGCAATAGGTATGAGCCTCAGACCGACATCCCTTCCGATGTTGAGACTGAACAAGACCGAGTTTTCTTCATTAAGGCGGTTGCCCAGTTCATGGTTAGTTCACAGTTATTTTGTGGCGTTACAAAATTAGAAGGGGAGGGGCTGGGGATTTAGCTTAGCGGCATAAGCACTGCCTTGTTAAGCAGGCGGCCGTGAGTTTGATCCCTGGTACTGATAAAAAAATTAGAAAGGGATGAATCCTAGTTAGGGCTACTTTCAAATTTAGTAATTGAGTTTACGTTCTAAAATCATTCCATTTTCAGGGTTCTGTGAAGCCATTTCACCGGTGAAGTTTTTTGTTGTTGTTTTTAATTTGTTTTTTATGCAGTATATGTTAAGATTTTTGTTTGTTCATTTTTAGTGACCTTAAGTGCCAAAGATTAACCTAGGGCCTCTGCCATGCTAGGTGCATACTCTACCATTGAGCTGTAGCCTCTTTTTTTTTTTTTTTTTTTGGTGATACCAGGAGTCAAACTCAGGGTCTCAAACTTGCCAGGCAGGTGCAGCACCACTGAACTATATTCCCAGCCCTATTTGTTTATTTTTGAATAAGTAATGTATTTCATGGTTCAAAGGTTTTTAAAATTATGTCATGACATAATAAAATGAGTTTCTACCCTGCCTGGCGTGAGTCCCAGTAACCACTATTGTATTCCTAGTAACCACTATTTTAAATTTCTTCCAGCATTTCTTTATGCATATTTAAGCAAATAATAATATTCTTATTTTTCCTTCCATATATACAAATAGTAGTATATTACATACCACAGTGTAGCATCTTGTTTTCTTAGTAGTATGCTCCAAGTACATAAAGAATTTCCTTATTCTCTCTTATATTTGACTAGTATTCTTGTGTGGACATGCCATAATTTATGTAATTTATGTGGGTAGGTCATTTGGTCATTTCCAACTTTTGCTCTCTGAAATAATGCTGTAACAAATAACCTAGGTGTATCATTTTATGTATGTGTGATTATACCCCTTGACTAAATTCTTTCTATTGGAATTACTGGATCAAAAGATACGTGCATTTGTAATTTTGGTATCTTACCAAATGGCTCTATCAGTTTCTATACTTAACAATGTACTACAATGTACTATATCACTTAGAACTTTTACTCATAACACTGAAATTCTTTCAGTTTTTGGCAGAGACATTTGCAAATTACCTACCTAGGATTTGGTTTGGACTTTACTTTTTTTTTTTTGAGACAGGATCTCATTATGCAGTTTAGGCTGGCCTTGGGCTCACTTTGTAGCCCAGGCTGATCTTGAATTTGCAACGATCCTCCTGTCTCAGCCCCCAGAGTGCTGGGATTATAGGAGTGCACCACCATACCCGGTTGGTGTGAATTTTAAAAGGTGAGGTCCTTAATATATTTTCTTTGTTGTTATTGTTATTAGTATTATTACTTTTGTTGTTTTTTGAGATAGGACCTCTCTATGTAGTTTAGGTTAGTCTTGAAGTCACTATTTAACTAAGGTTGGCTTCAAAATTGCAGCAGTCCTCCTGCTTCAGCCTCCGGAGTGCTAGGATGACAGGTATGTGCCACCATATCTGGATTTATTGTTTTATTTGTTTTAAAACAGGCCACAAAGGCACATATAAAACTCAATACTAAGAAGCTTTACCAAGCAGATGGATATGCGGTGAAAGAACTGCTGAAGATCACATCTGTCCTTTATAATGCTATGAAGACAAAAGGGATGGAAGGCTCGAAAGTAGGAGAGGAAGACATTAGCAAGTTCAAGTTTGACCTTAGCTCCAAGGTAATGACAACCACACACTGTAGCAAGATAATGTTTATTTATTAGACTTGGGAATCAGATGTGGGTGATCCACAGAACCACTTCTTTCCTTACTCTTGACCGAGGGTTTTATGTTCATCAGAATTGAGATAAATGGAAAGTCACAATGAATTACTTATTGAAAGCTTACTAACGTTCTTACATATATGTCTTAAAAATCCCACGGCCTTAAACATGAGCCTTTTGGGTGATATTTTGGATCCCAATCATTAAAAACAATGTGTCTGTCAGAGTACCTCTTCATTTGGTCACCCCACTACTGTCAGGGCATCACTGTAATATTTTAAATAGGATACATGCCATCTTTTCTCCTGCCTATACCTCTTCTTTGTGGGTTTAGTTTAATTTGGCGTTTGATTTTTTGGGGAGGTGGGGGCCCTGGAATTGGTTCCATTTGTATTTAGATCAGCATTTCCTAAGCATGTGTCCTGTCTTGCAGAATGTAATTGTGGGGCTGGAGAAACACCTATTCATTAGTCATGTATCCCATCTCAAGGTAACAGCTATTAGCATCAGCTACTGAATATGTGTCTGTTACGGTATTTCTCTTCCAGATTGCAGATTTGAAAGCAGCCAGGCAGCTTGCTTCTGAAATCACCTCCAAAGGAGCATTTCTATATGACTTGCTGGGGAAGGAGGTTGAGTTGAGGGTAAGCAGTGTTTAGATGAAGAATACAAATTTTTTCTTCGAGGTTTTCTTTTTTAATTCTATTTTAGTTCTCATTTTTTAAAACTGTACCACATTGAAAGAGATAGTGTTTGCCATTTAAAGTGATACAGAATGGTGGGTGCTGTGGCTGCATCTAATGGGCATAGATTTTAATTCCTTTAGCTTCTAGTTCAGCAATGGCAAATAAGCGACATGTCATTGACACTCCCCTTTTTGTTTCTGTGGTAGTCATTATTAATTACAATGCTTTTTCTGTGTTGCCCAATGAACTTACTTTAGAATGTTTTGTGTACATATGTTCTACTGGAATTTGAACCCAGAGCTCTTACATTGAGCTACATCCCCAGTCCTTTTTATTTTGAAGTGACTTCTCACTAAGTTGCTAAATTGCCCAGGTTGGACTTGAGCTTATAATCCTCCTGACTCAACCTTCCAGAGTGCTGGGATTATAAGTGTGCACCAGTATTCAACTGATATAGGGATATTTAAAATCAGGTTTTAAAAAGCCTCGCTTTCATTCTATGTTACCATTATGGAATGTGACCCAGCATTGGGAATTTCAGAAGGCTCCCAGGTGATTTTAACATACAGCGAAGTTTGTGACCAACAAGCTAGGTAGTCATTCCCAAGCAGTTGGAGTTTGCTTTACAGTTGAAACGTTTGCAATCCCTATTCCAACTAGTGCCAGTCAAGGAATATGTACTCACCATTCCACTGAAGCAGCTGTTTGAGAGTTTTTCCTAACCTTACTAAACACACTTACTCCATGTCAAGATTGTCCCCAGACCAGTGAGTTAGTGTGCCTGGGCCTGAGAACAGGCATCATGGTTTAAAGATCACCAGGTGATTCCAATGAGAAACAGAATTTGGGAACCACTGATTATGTATTTATTTTTTTTTTTTATTTGAGATAGGGTCTTGCTATGTAGTTCAGGCTAGTTTTGAACTGTCTGTGTAGTACAGGCTGGCCTCAAACTCAGAGCAGTCCTCTTGCCTCAGCCTCCCAAGTGCTGGGATTATAGGTGTGAGCCATGATGCCTGGCACCACTGATTTATATTTTGATTTTTTAAAATGTATTTATTTTTTGAGACAGGGTCCCATTATGTAGTTCTGGCAGTCCTTGTTCTCGTTGTGTCACCTAGGCTGGTCTTGAACTCATGGCAGTCTTCCTGCCCCATCTCTCGTCCTGGAATTACAGGAATACACTACTACACCCAGCCAAGGAACTACTGATTAAAAAAGAGATGGAGTAGTGTTGAATCCTTACCTGTAAGGATTGATGGCACTTGAAGCATATGTGCTCAGTCTTGTGTTTCGATTTATTTAGTTAATTTTGTACTGGGAATCAAACGTAGGACCTTGTGCTTGACAGGCAGGTACTTGTGTTGCTGAGCTATAACCCCAGCTCACAGTCTAGTGTTTTTACATTAAATGAACTTTGTTCTCTAGCTTTCTGCCAGGTGTGTCAGCTTTGACCACTCTGTCACTGCCTTGCTTGTGTTCCGGTGGCTGTGGTATAATAGTACTTTTCCATCTGCTTTTCATTTCCACTATAGAAGCAAACTGGAAGGGAAACTCACAGGCGCCAGGTCACTGTCCCTGCTCTTCAATACTGACTTAATGGTTGCTGCCTGGTGAAGGGTGGGTAGCAAAACAAAACTGCCACTAAGTTCTGTCAACCAATGCAGGTGACTCATGACGCAACTTCAGGTTTCTGTGTTTTCTGCTAACTGTGAAGTAGTGCACATACTCATGAGAGACCTGGAGACAGGAGCTGGTCACTAGCTAAATGCCAATGGAACTGTAGATTCATTGTGAGATTTCCCCAGTATCCACCAGGGTCTCTTCCAGTGTCTTAGAGTGAATGATAAAGTAGTCCAGGGCTGACCTGTTCCCAGGGAAAATATGGCCTCTGAATATGGTTCTGCAAATGTTATATGCAGTCATGATCTGAGAAAGAACCTCTATCCCTATTTGCTTTTCAAGCACTCAGTAAATTTTTATTGAGAATCAGTGATGATCACAGGCAAGGCCTGGAGCTCTTTCTCCTGAGTAAGTCAGAATCCCTTGCTAGTATAGTTTTCAACCAGTGGAGGACATAAGTCATGCCATAGAATAAGGGAAGTATGAGTGGAGTTTGGTAAGGTGTTCTAGGAGCCAGGCATGGTGGTGTACACCTGTAATCCCAGCAGTATGGGAGGCTGAGAGAGGAGGATCACAAGTTTGAGGCCAGCATGGACAACTAGTGACTTAGTGAGACCATGTCTCAAAAAATAAAGGACTGCTAAGGCCTTGGTTTCAGTCCCCAGTACCACACACATACATTTAAGGTGCTCCAGGAACCATGTCTTACTCTGTTCAAGCTACTATAATAAACTATGATAAACTTAGTGATTTGAAAACTATGAATACTTATTTCTCAGTTTGGGGAATAGGAAGTCTTAGATCAGTATACTGGCAAATTCATTGTCTGGTGAGGGCGTATTCCTCATACATAGTGTACCCCCTACCTCTGTGGTATTGGGCATTGAACACAGGGCCTTGTTCTTGCTGTCCTTCTTTAAATTTTTACTTTGAGACAGGGTCTTGCTAAGTTGTTCAGGCTTGCAATCCTCTTGCCTCAGCTTCCCAAATAGCTAGGAGTATAGGTGTGCACCACCATGCTCAGTAAGACCGTGGTTTTTTGCTGTGTCCAACACCTGGCAAAAGAGTGAAGGAGTGCCCTAGGGTCTTTTCCATTTATTTATTTATTTATTTATTTATTTATTTTTAATTTATTTTTGGAGACAGGATCTCACTATGCAGTTCAGGCTGGCTTTGACCTCACTGTGTAGCCTGAGGTTGGCCTTGAAGTTGTGGTGATTCTTCTGCCTGAGCCTCCCAAGTTCTGGAATTACAGGCATGCATCACCATGCCCAATCTTCCAGGGTCTCTTCTGTAAGGTCACTAATCCCATTCATGAGATTTCCACCCTCATGATCTAATTACCTACTAAAGACCTCACTCACCTCTTAATATCATTACATCACGGGTTAAGATTTCAGCATATGATTTTGGGAGTGATACATTCAGTCTTTAAGCAACCTCATAACTGCATCTATATTAAAATCTCATGTCTCAAAAATTTCCACTGCTAAGAGTATTCACAAATTTCCCTGTCATAGGTTTATTAATGCTAGAGGTAGGGTCAAGGTGGCTATTTTCATGGGTGTTTGTCAAATGATCGGCAACTTGGAGCGATTTAATTATAAAGGAGTTGCAGAGGCCAGAGGGGACTTAGATAGCAAATTACATTGTACTAGGTTTGGAAGGTCCCCTAACCAGAATACACGTCAAGAAATAAATGCTGTGTGCTAAATTCAGCTTTGCTTAAGGAGGGAGTGGCACATGAGGCCTTAAACTTTTCAGTTTAAGGGGGATCTGCACTCCGAGAGGAGTCGGTGAACATTGGAGGATGTTTGTAGGAGGTGATGGCAGCAATGGCTTTGCATCAGAGATCCATATTACAATAAAACTTTTATTCGTTTGATACCAAGGATTGAACTCAGTACACTGCACATGGTAAGCATATGTTCTACCACTGAGCCACATCCTGAGCACTTGTGATGAAACTTTGGAGAATTAGGCCATTATCTGTATCTAGATCTAGGAACATTAATTTTTAAAACTCCATTTCAGAAATAGTTAAGATAGCTATAATACTTCTGATTTCTCTGAGTTTGCTGAAGAGAAAGATTTGTGCTGGTATTGTTTGGAGAATTGGATGCAGATGTGTTGTGCTTGGGTGAATGATTTGGGGATGACAATGTGCAATGTATGTGCCATTGTTGTCCCCTGATTGATGTGTTTTAAAATTTTGTTGTAGTTTGGTTTTTTTTTTCCTCCTTCTTCTTTTTCTTTCTCTTTATCTTTGAATAAACAGATTTGAAAAAAAACTATTTCTAAAAATATTTATAAATAGTTTTAATTTTTCCCTTAGGAACTGAGAACAGAAGCAATTGCCAGACCTCTGGAAATAAATGAGACTGAAAAAGTGATGAGAATTGCAGTAAAAGAGATTTTGGTAAGTCACTTTGCTTTTAACAGTGTGTCAGAATAGCTTACCACAAAATATGTATTAATTACAAAGAAAAAAAGTAATTTCTTATGGAAAAGCCTGTCCTTAATCCACTACATCACATCACTACAGTGAAACAAGCTGAGATCCTAACACCTAGTAGGGTACAGTTCTGTGATGTTCCTGCAGAGATGCATAATCTGATAATCAGACAAAGCTGGACTTAGGGTCATTCCAGGAACTAACTAGTCTGTTCCTCCTCAAAAGTGAGAATATCATTGCTGAGTATGGTAGCACATGCCTGTAATCCCAGCACTCAGGAGGCTGAGGCAGGAGGATCACTGCAGGGTTGAGACTGGCCCAGGCTACATAATGAGTTCAACTGAATTGCATAGCCAGGCTTTTTCTTACAAAAGAAGAAAAAATGAGAACAAAAATGTCAAGGAAAGCAGAGATCCTCCAGACTAAAGGAACCCAAAGACTTGCTGGTTGAGTGCTATGGTGCCTTTCGTCTCCTGTGGAGGCCTTTGCTGGGACAAGTGGGAAGAACAGAATGGGCTTGGCGGTCATGTGGTGGTTGTGCACCAGTGCTCACATCTTGTCACAATCGTTTGTACTGTGCTTGCAAGGAGAAAGCCCTGTGGATAGGAAAAAACAGTAATGCATTAGAAGTAATAGGACATCAAGTCAGCAATTTACTCTCACGTAGGTCAAGAAAAAGTACTTTGTGTTATGCTTCAGCTTTTCTGTGAGTTTGTGACTATTTCTAAATTGAAAAAAAAATTTTTGGTGAAAATATAATTTTCTTTCTTTTCTTTTTTTAATGATACATTTTAGATTTATATAATGATCACATACATTCATCATAGAGGATTTGTACCTGTGCAGAATATATCATTTTTTAATAGCCACTCAAAGATTTAATTGGTACCAGTGAATTAACTTTAACCATTTTTCTTTTTTTCTTTTTGTGTAGTACTGAGCATTAAATCCAGGGCTTTCTCTGAGCTATATCTCCAGCCCTTTTTATTTTTTCTTGCTAAGTTGATAAGTTGCTCATGCTAATTTGAACTTGTGGTTCTCCTGTCTCAGTTTCCCAAGGTGATGAGATTATAGATGTGTGTCACCATGCCTAGTTTAACCATTTCTCTCTTTCTTTCTTTCTTTTTTTTTTTTGTACCGGAAATCAAACTCAGGACCTTGCACTTGCCACGGCAGGTGCTGTGCCACTGAACTTTATCTCGGTCTCTGAGCAATAACCCCAGCCCTAGTTTAACCATTTCTTACAAACTTTAAACTGCAACACATTAGGGTTGGGAACTGTGTTTTTTGGATTTTGAACTCCTCCTAAAAGCCTCTTTGGTGACTTGACCTTTTTTTTTTTAAGTGAAAAAAGAATAAAAGCAATACAGAATTTCAAAACAAAATAATAGAGTAACAATTGTTAATATATCACATATCGTTATCTTTAGAGTAGTTGTTCAGATGACAAGATATAGGTACGAAAAATGAAACACTAAAAGTGCAAACCGTTCTTTTTGATGAGCTAACAGAGATTAGTAGTCTCTTTCTCTTCTTTTTTCCTTTCCTTGATCCTAGTTCTTTCCTTTTGAGAAGTTTCTTCTCCTTTCACTTTCACAATATCTATTGTACATTTGGATCTTAGTAATTCGGTTTTTTGCACTAGAGAATACGATGTTTACATATGCAAGTCTGATTTATTTCACCTATGAATATGGCATCCATTTATCCAACAGAACATATCTTGATTCTTTTTTTTCCCATTCCTTTGCCATCCCCTCAACCCCTCTTTTCCTCCTTATTTACAAAAGTTTTGTTCCCATTTTTTCCTTTTCTTGCTTGTTCTTGTTTCCCTTCATCCTTCCCTATAGTTCCCTTTCCCATTTGAACATTTTCTTCCTATATCATAGTATCTATTACACATTTTGGTGCTTACATATACTTTCGGTGTCTCACACCAGATAATACAGCATTTACAAATGGGTGTCTGATTTATTTCACTTCAGAGTATGGTCTCAGGATGCATCCATTTACCTTGAAATGTCTCAAGTTTATCCTTCTTATGGCCAAGTAGTCCTCCATTGTATAAAAAAGCACATCTTTATTTATCAGTTGATGGGCATTACGGCTGTTTCCAAGATTTAGCTATTACAAATTGTTCTGCTATAAACATGGACATGGATACATCACTGTAGTATGCTTTTAATTCTTTTGGGCACATATCAAGAAGGAAAATGGCTGGGTCAAGGGGAACCTCTAGTTTTAGAGTTTTGAGGAATCTCCACACTGATTTCTGTGGTGGTTAGTTCTCACACCAACAGTGGAAAAGAATTCCTTTTTCCCCACAACTCCACCAACATTTGGGTTTTTTTGTTTTTTGTACTGGGGATCAAACTCACAACCTAGCACTTGCAAGGCTATTAACAAGAAATCAACCAATAAGAAATGCTGGCTCCACCAGCATAGTCATTCTCTCTGGGGTGAGATGGAATCTCACCGATGTTGCTTTAATTTGCATCTCTCAAATGACCAGTGGTGTTAAACATTTTTTCATATATTTGCCATTTGTATTTCTCCATCTAAGAAATGTATATTCATCTCAGACTCCCATTTTTGGATTGGATCTTTAAATTTAGAGAGCTGACATTTTTGCGCTCTATATATATTCTTGATATTAGTCCTTTGTTTCAGGAATAGCTGGTAAAAATTTTTTCCCAGTGTGAGTTGTCTGTTTACTCTGTTGGTGATTTTTTGTGACATGCAAAAAGTTTCTTGATAATACGAGATCCCAATTATTGATCCTTATGGTATTTCCTATGTGATCAGAGTTTCATTCATAAAGTCTTTGCCTACATCAGTGTCTTCAAGAGTTCTACCTATTTTATTTTCCAATAGATTTAGTATTGCTGTTTTAATATTTAGATCTTTGATCCATTAGTTTAGAGCATAGTGAAAGATACGGGTTTAGTTTTAATCTTCAGCATGTGGAAAGTCAATTTTTCCAGCTCTGTTTATTAAAGAGGCTGTCTTTCCTTCAGTGAAGGGGTTTGACTCCTTTATCAAAGATGAGGTGGCTGAGTGTGTTTTGAGTTGTTTTTGCATCTTCTTATCTATTCTATTGAATCTGTGGTTTGGCCACTACCATTCTGTTTTTATCACAGTAGTTTTGTAGTATAATTTCAAATCAGGAATCGTGATACCCTCTGCCTTGCTTTTGTTGCCCAGAATTACTTTTGCTATTCGAGGTTTTTTCTGGTTTCAAATGAATTGTAGGAATGTTTTCTTTAATTCTGTGAGGTACGCTATTGGTATTTTGAACAGAATTTGCTAAATCTATAAAACAATTTTGGAAGTTTGACCATTTTCACTGTTTTGGTACTTCCTACCTAAGAATAAGGGATATCTTTCCATTTCCTGATACTCCTCTTTGATCTCCTTTTCAGAGTACTGTAGTTTTCAATATAGAGGTCTTTTACTTACTTACTTTTTTTTTTCTTGATGCTATTGTGAAAAGTATTATTTCCCTAATTCCTCTCTCTGTGCATTTACTGTTTGTGTAGAAGAATGCTATTGACTTTTGAGAATTAACTTTGTACCCAGCTACACACTGAATTTGATTATTAAATCTAGAAGTCTTGGGCTGGGGATTCAGCTCAGTGGCACAGGTACCTGCCTGGCAAGTGCAAGGTCATGAGTTTGATGCCCAGTACAATAAATAAATAAATAAATGTAGAGGTCTTTGGTGGAGTTTTTGGGTTCCTATATGTAGAGTATTATTACATCTGCAAATAATGATAATTTCACTTCTTCTTCTCCTATCTTTATTCTTTTTCTTTGTATTGCTTGTGTAACTGCTCTGGCTAATGTTTCCAGAACTGTATTGAACAGGAGTGATAATAGTGTGTATTCCGAATTCCTAGTGCAGCTTACTGTCTCTCTGTGCTAACCTGGCCAGTTTTCCAGATGACATGAGCATGAAGACAGCACTATTGCTCTCACTCAACCTGCTTCAAGTAAACTTCCCCTTGTCAGAAGAAGCTGGAGTGGGCTATGACTGTCATTAGTGGTTTCTGACCCCTTCTCTTACTGAGCAATAGCTTAAGGCGGAGGGCAGCTCAGGCTTCTGTTTGTCCTCTGCTGAGTAGAGCTGTGCTTTTGTGTTCATGTTCCATAAGGAGATATTTATGAACAGAAGAGAAGCCTGATTGTGACAGCAAAGGAGAAATGCAGAGTGATAGTCTTACCAAGAGCCTACACAGAGATCCCAGGTCACTCTCTGTCCAGATCCAGACTCTCTTCTTTCTATCTGCATGTGTTTTCCTGGCAGAAGCACCCATTTTTTTATGAAAATAACGTTTTTTTTCTTGATCTATGTACTGTTCCCCATGTAAAGAATTGATTAAGTGAATCATTGCTTGGAGGGAGGGAATGTTTGTATATTTGTTTGCTTTTCGTATGTTTTCTGTGATATTACTATGGCTGAAGAGTTGGGAAGTTACTGTCTTCAGAGTCAGGGTAGTAGTTCTCACACTTTGTCTCACTATTTCCTATTAAACATAGTCACAAGTTCAGAAGACCAAAGACTTGCTCAGTAATGTGGCCTCTGATGAAGCTAACTTAGAAGCCAAAATTGAAAAGCGAAAATTAGAACTGGAAAGAAATCGGAAGCGACTCCAGACACTGCAGAGTGTCAGGTAAGCTGGACACTTAGGTACAACAGAAAGAGTGGTAGAAAGGTGACATCAAAAGTTCAAATAAACACTGAGCAGATGTAAGTACATGTCTTACTTGCTGAGACACAGTATCCGACACCTACCAATTTAAGGGAAGAGAGGTTTATTTTGATTCACATTTCAGGCCATAGTTGAATGGCTGCAAAACAGGACAGCATGGCAGAAGGGCATGACAAAGAAAATGCTACTCACCTCAGAGAAACAGAGAGTAAAGAAAGAGCTATCCCTTCTAGGTCACATCCTCACAGACCCAGCATTTCTGACCAGGCCCCACCTCGTATTGTGCACTGAGCTATAAACTCATCGGTAGACTGAGCCACTGAAGAGCATAGCATACCCTCACAATCCAGTCGCCTCTGAAGCCTTGGCTTTGGGGGAAAATCTAGATAGAAACCTTAACAAAGTGATGCTAACTCTTCAAGCACTGAGAAAAGCCTGTGTAAGGAGATTCACCTCACAAGTGTCCTGGCAGCTAGGACACTTGATGCAGGACCTTCACTGCTTTCAGAGTTTCTAGGGAATGGCTTCATTCTTGAGCAGCCTTTACATTCTTACTGCTCTCAGGGTGCAAGGCAGAGTTAGTAAATCCACCATATGGATTGTGCTATAAATTTGGTGGGAACAGAACATACTCCCATCTCTTGGTTTGAGGGGATTTTAGACATTTTTATTTTTGTTGCTATTGTTGGTTTTTGTTTTTGTTTTTTGAGATAGAGTTTCACTATGTAGTTCAGACTGGCCTTGAACTCACTGTGTAGCTCAGACTGTCCTCAAATTCATGATGATCCTCTTGCCTCAGCCTCCCCAGTACTGGGATTATACGAATGCACCAGCATCCACAGTGCTTGGACATTTTAGACTTTGATAATTTCTCATCTGTTAGCAGTTTATCTTTCTTCGGACTTTTACTTATTAGAAATAAATGTCCAGGAAACAGGGCCAAGTAACAGTGGCTCTGTTAATGAAACTTTTTATGTATATACCTCGTAGTTTTTTTTTTTTTTTTGGTGTCGGGGGCTACAATTTCAGACAGGGTCTCACTGTGTAGCCCTGGTTGACCTCATGGTGATCCTCCTGCCTCTGCCTCCCAAGTGCTAAGATTACAGGCATGCACTACCATGCCTGGCTGTGTGCATCATAGTTTCTTGGCACTCTTTTTCTCCTTTTCTTTCCTGTGTTTGTTTTAAACATTCCTTTCTTGGTTGTTTTGGTTTGTCTTTCCCCTGTGGGGAGGCAGTGCTTGATGGCACAGACAGGCAGTGCTCTAGGAGTGACAAGGCATCCTCCAGCCCAAGGCTGACTTTGCACTGCTTCCTCTTCTGAAATCACAGCCACTAGGTCTATTGAGCTTACTTACAGGATTGGCATGAAGGCATAAATTCATTCTGGTTTAGAGCTGCAGATCTTTTTAATAGAAAAATCTTTTTAAGAAAAATTTATTCTCACTTAACAGGTTATAAATTTTTACTTTAGCTGTGTATGTACATGTGAAACTTTGTATATATACATATGTATGCACATATCATACACATATATTTTTATGTATGGTACTAGGTATTGAACCCAAGGCCTTTGCACTGAGTTACATCACCGGCCTTTAAAAATTTTTTTCATTTTGAGGTATCTCACTTAATCACAAGGTTGCCCAGGCTGGGCTCAAACTTGGCAATCCTCCTTTCTCAGCCTCCCAGAGTGCTGGGACTACAGATGTGCACTAGCATACCTAGCTAAATCTGATATATTAAAGCGGAAAAACTATAGAATTTATTTTATGATTATACTTTAACTTTTGTTTAAAAATATATTCCTATCTGTTTGTAGGCATAAAAAAGTCTAGAAAAGTGTTCTTACATATTAAATGTATATGCTTGATTGTGGAATTAAGAGTAATTTTTACATTATTCTTCATACTTATAAGATTAATTCATGGGGCCGGGTTTATAGTTCAGCAGCATAGTGCCTGCCTGGAAAGCACGAGGTCCTGAGTTCAATTTCTGGTACCCCAAAAAAAGATTAGTTCAGGTTTCACAAAGAACACATTTATGACTTAAAAATAAATACGTTCATTGGGTAGTAGAAAAAAGAAGAGAAGAGTTAGTTTTAAGCAGTTATCAGAGTGAAGGGCTTGTATATTTAAAACTTTCCAAAGAAAGCTACGTTAGAATGTGGAACTCTTTTTTTTTTTTTTGAAATAGTGTCTCACTATGTAATTCAGCCTGACCTTGGACTCACTGTGGAGCCTAACCTGGTCTTGAACTTGAGGTGATCTTCCGGCCTCAGCCTCCCAAGTGCTGAAATTACAGGTGTATGCCACCACACTCAGCTTTGGAACTCTTCAATTTTTTTTTTCTTTTTTTTTGGTCTTTTTCCTTTTTATCGGTACCGGGGATCGAACTCATGACTGCCTGCTTCCAAGGCAGGCGCTTATGCCGCTGAGCTAAACCTCCAGCCCCCAGCTTTGGAACTCTTAATTACAGATTTCAAACTACTATTTGGTGATTAACTTTTCACTTTTTATTTCATTTGATCATTTTAGGCCAGCTTTTATGGATGAGTATGAGAAGATTGAGGAAGAATTACAAAAGCAGTATGACATTTATCTAGAAAAGTTTCGAAATTTGGCTTACTTGGAACAACAACTTGAAGAACATCACCGAATGGAGCAAGAGAGGTTTGAAGTAAGTGCTTGTCCTCCTCTTCTGACAGGCCTTTCCTTCTGTGTGTTCCTTTGTACTCAGTGACATACTAGTTTGTAAATACTGTGGAAAGAAATCAGTCTGGGATTGCTTGTTTATTTCTACTGTTTTGCCAGCAGCAAAACAGTACCTGCACTGCTGAGCTGTCAAACCTTTGATATTATGTTATTATCAGGATTTGGTCAGTTAGGAGCAGAGAGGGCAAATATGTGACCTACAGCCATAAAACGCTCTGCCTAAATGGGCAGAAACTGAAAGCTTTTTCTCTAAAATCAGAAATAAGACAACAATGTCCACTGTCTCCGCTATTATTTAACAATGTCCTAGAAACTTTAGCCAGAGTAATTAGACAAGAGAAGGAAATAAAAGGAATAAAGAACTATTGTTATTTACAGATGACATGATACTCTACTTAGAAGGCACCCCCCCCCCAGAAAAACTGGTAGATTCAATAAGCAAATTCAGTAGCATAGCTAACTTCAAAGTCAACACTCAAAAATCAATAGCCTTCCTGTACATGAATAACAAACTCAGTAAGAGAGAAATCAGGGAGACAACACCTTTCAGAACGGCATCCAAAAAAAAAAAAAAAAAAAGAAAAAAAGAAATACCTAGAAATCAATCTAACAAAAGGATGTAAAATACCTCTACATTGAAAACAATAGTACTCTGAAGAAAGAGATTGAAGAGGATACTAGGGAATGGAGAGATATCCCATGCTCTTGGGGAGGAAGAACCAGTATAGTGAAAATGGTCATACTTCCAATACTGTTGTACAGATTCATGCAATCTCAATCAAAATTCCTATAGCATATCTCACAGAATTAGAGAAAACAATCGTAAAATTCATCTGGAACCATAAGAGACCTAGAGTAGCAAAGCCAATTCTGGGCAGTAAAGGCAAGGCAAGGGATATTACAATCCCTAACTTGAAATTATACTATAAAGCTACTACAATAAAAACAGCATGGTACTGCCATAAAATACTCTTCACTTAGAAGGATCTGTATTTGCCCTGTTAATGCTGTCTTAAAATTGGTAATAATTTCTAGGTATATTGTATTTTGTACTGACCTCACAATTGGATAGCTGGTCTTGAGTACAGAATCTAAAAATTTGTTTGATCAGTTTCCTGAATTGTTTCCAGGCCCTAATTAATCTACTTGCCCACACAAGTTCATTGGAGACTGCTTTATAAAGAGGAATGGCGGTTTATTAGTTGATTGTGGGCAGTATGTCTGATGGAGAAAGTCAGCTGTTTTATAGGCTTCTCATAACCACTTAGGACAGAGTATTTCTGATCCCAGCACAAGGTGATAAATTCAGAGCAAAGGAAATTGGAGCAAGTTGCAAACACTTTTCCAATTGCTGTTAGAATCTCTTAGGATTATTTGTATGTAATCTGAGAAGAGTTGTTTAAAATAATTGACCTGAAGTCTCCCTTTCTCATGTGATAACTTCTGCTATAAAGGGTGTGCTGTCTGTCTTACAAATATGAGCATTCATTTGAGCATTCTGAATTAGGTAAAGTGATTTTATTGTCCAGGAAGGGGAACTAGGAATAACTATACGTTTACATGGACTCAGGTTGTCCTAGTGAGTAATCATGGCCACTACTGCTGTGTGGCAGAGAAGCAGCTATTGAGAAGTAAGACGGGTACATTCTGAGGATAATGAAAAGAGCTTAGAGTTTAAAACTCTTTTTGTTTTTGTGGCACTAGGGATTGAACCCAAGGTGTTTGCACTGAGCTGCATCCCCAGCTCTTTTGAGACACAGTTCACTAAATCACTAAATCATGCAGACGAGGCTCAGGCTTGCAGTGTTACTGCCTCAACCTCCCACAGTGCTAGGATTAGCATGGTACAAGCAGTGCAGGACAGAAAAATGATAACCGTGATAACTGTCTGCTGTGAGCAAGAGGCCTGTGCCTGTCCTGTGGTTAGGTGCATCTGATCTTCGTGGCCTGTGTAGGAAATGAGACCAACATTAGTTGTATCGCTCAATTCTTCCTGAGTCAGTGGGTTGTGGTGGAAGGAGTGAGGGTATGGGGCTGGTACATCATTCTTAGGGCCCTCTCCACTGGGCTGCGGGGAGACTACAGAGAAGAAGCGCTCCAGGGTTGGGGAATACTTGCAGGAGTTGCTCAGCAACAACCTTTAGTTTACATCTTTTCTTGTTCTGTAGCATTATGTACACAGTGGTAAAGAATAATAGCATTATCTGCCAGAGTCATTCTCCTGAATCTGGTTTTCTTTCTTTTTTTTTTTTTTTGGTACCGGAAATCAAACTCACGACCACACGCTTGCAAGGCAGGCGCTTATGCCACTTTGCCAAATCCCTATCCTCTAAATCTGGTTTTCTTCCACAGGAAGCTGAAAATACACTCCGCCTGATGCAGAATAAACTAAAGGAAGAGGAAAAGCGGCTGCTTAAAAGTGGAAGTAAGAATGGAGATGTTTATTCTCAACTAGCATTTTTAGCCTCAACAAGTTTATATATGTTCTGAAAATATTTTCTTTTAGCATTTTTTTACTATGATAAAAATACAACATGAGATCTATTGTTTTAAAAAATTAATTTTATTGGTATACTTTTGACACTTTGGTTACATTCAGACCTGTAATAATATATCATAATTCATTTTTATCCCATTCCCCTCCCTTCAGTCTTCTTCCTCTCTCCCTTTATAAAACTTTGTGTCTGTTATTTTCCTTTCTTTTTAATTTTTATCTCTGTTCCCTCCTTTCCCTTCCTCTTTTCCTCTCCCTTGTTCCCCTACCCATTTGAATATTTTTTTCCCTATTTTCCAATATTTATCATCCATTTTGGTCCTTATTTACCCTTTGAGTTTCTTGCACAAAAGAAACAATGCAATATTTAAATATGTCTGATTTATTTCACTTAAAATTACGTTCTCAAGGTGCATCTATTTACTTTAAAGTGTCTCAAATTTATCCTTCATGGCAATGTAGTACTCCATTGTATATAAAAACTACACTGTCTTTATACATTCATCTGTTGAAGGACATCTGGGCTGTTCCCAAGATTTTTTTTTGGTCTTTTTCCTTTTTATCAGTACCGGGAATCAAACTCACGACTGCCTGCTTGCAAGGCAGGTGCTTATGCCGCTGAGCTAAATCCCCACCCCCGTTCCCAAGATTTTTTGAGGGGTTCAATTTTTTTTGAGACAGGGTCTTGGCTGTGCTGACCTTGAACTCATGGTGATTCTTCTCCCTGAATTTTCCAAGTGCTGGGATTACAGGTGAACACTGCCCCACCCAGTTGTTTCCAAGATTTAGCTATAAAATTGTGCTGCTATAAACATGGATATGTGTAGGTCACTGTGGTATAATGCTTTTAATTCTTTCAAGAAGATACCTAAAAGGTAAATAACTGAGTCAAATGGAACCACTAGTTCCATTTAGTTATACACTCCCACCAACAGTGGAAAAGGATTTCTTTTTCCTCACATGCTCACCAACATTTGTTATTGCTTGATTTCTTGATAATAGTCATTCTTGCTGGAGATGGATCCCAGTGTTGTTTTAATTTGCATTTCTCAAGTGACTAGTGATGTTAAACATTTTTTCATGTATTTATTTGCTGTTTGTATTTTATTATCTGATAGTTTGTGTCTAGATGTACCCCTAAAACCTCGTGTAGTCGTGAGTGTGGGCTTATAGAGTTTGTGATTAATTCATGGTCCAAAGGTGGGATCATGGTGTGAGTGGGTAGCCTACATACAATATAAGGAAGGGGAAGAGGCTTGCTCCTCTCCTTCTTTTTGTGCTGTTCTTTCCTCTCTTTTGTGCTCTTGTTGCTTTTGCTGTTTTCTGCCGCCATGAACTGTTTTGTTTTAATTTTTAATTTTAAAGATAGTAAAATCTAACAAAATAAAACGGAACAAAGCTAATCAAAACAATGTAGCAAAATTGGTAGAGAACTTCAAAGCAGTATACTAGGAAAACAACAAAAGCTACCATAGTATATCTCGTTATCTTCATAGTAGTTGTCCATTCCATCAGATATAGCAAAATCTAAATTTATTAAACAAAACAGAATGAAACCAATCAAAACAGAATAAAGAAGTACAGTTGGTTAGAACAAGCCAAAACAGTGAGAACAATATTGGACTTTAATGACAAGATGGAAGGAAATCTCCCATATTTGCTATACTGCATATTGTTATCCTCCTAAGAGATGCTCAGAGTGCTGGTCCCAGGTCTGCAAAATCAACCAAACAACACAAGTACTTAGTTGCTTTGTATACCTTAGTTGCTATCAACTCAACCTGTGCTCTGAACCAGCCAGGTTGCCTGGATGGGGACGGGGTTGGGGGGAGACACACACAGCGTTTGACACCAGTAGGCTCGTGAGAGGTGCTGACTCTTTTTCTCCCTGGAACCTGGCTTGTGTGACTTACAGAAAGGCTAGATAGTTGATTTCTTGGTGAGTGGCTTCTCCCAGTCCCAGCATTGCCAATTCTCGGGAGACACTGGCTTTTCCCTCCCCGGAACCCACACAGCTTGTGCCATGAACTGTTGCCCTCTGCCATGTGCCATTCTGTCTTGGAACCAGCCAAGTATGGACTGAAACCTCCATAACCTGAGCTAAATAAACCTTTCCTTCCTTAATGTTGGGCATCAGGTATTTTGTCTCAATGAGAGAAAAGTAACCAACACATTTGAGAAGTGTGTATTCATTTCAGATGCTCATGGTTTGATATTTTTGAGTTTTTCCCCAAGTTCTCGAGTTTATTTATTCTAGATGTTAGACCTTTGTTTCAGGAATAGCAGGTAAAAATTTTTCCCAGTCTGTGGGTTGTCTGTTCACTTTGTTGTTGGTTTCTGTGTAAAGCTGTGCAGAAGCTTTTAAATATGATATGATCCCAGTTGTTAATTTTTTGTGATATTTCCTGTGTGATCAAGGTTTTGTTCATAAAGTCTTTGTCTATACCTATGTCTTCAAAAGTTTTACCTATGCTATATCCCTGCAGGTTAAATGTTTGTTTTAATATTTTGATTTTAGATTCATTTTTGTTTTAGTTTAGTGCATGAGAGATGTGGCTCTAGGTTTAATCTTTGGCATGTGGAAAGCCAATTTTCCAAACACCATTTATTAAAGAGGCTTTCATCCAGTGAAGATGTTTGACTCCTTTGTAAAACAGAAGGTATCTAAGTGTGTTTGAAGTTGTTCTGCACCTTTGATTCTGTTCCATTGATCCTTGGATCTATTTTGTTTTGTTTGTGCCAGTACCTTGCTTTTATCAGGGTAGCTTTGTAGTATAGTTTTAAGTCAGGGCTAGTGATGCCTCTTGCCTTCCATTTGCTGCTCAGAATTGCTTTTGCTATTCTAGGTATCTTCTGGTTCCAAGTGAATTTTAGGATTGTTTTTTCTAATTCTGTGAGCTATGCTATTGATATTTTGATCAAGATTACATTAAGTCTGTATAACAGTTTTAGAAGTATAGCCATCTCCATTATATTGGTTCTGCCTAAAATTGTATATCTTTCTATTTTCTTCTTTTTTTTTTTTTGGTACCAGGGATCAAACTCATGACCTTGCCCTTGCCAGGTAGGCACTTATACCCCTAGGCTATATCCCCGCCTCTTCTTTCCATTTTATGATATCCCCTTTGATATTCTTTTTCAGAGTGCTGTAGTTTTTAATATGAAGTTCTTTTGCTTCCTTCATTAGATTGATTCCTATGTATTTCATTTTTCTTGATACTATTGTAAAATGTGGTGTTTCCTTAATTTCTCTCTCAGTGCATTTGTTGTTTGTGTATAGGAATGCTACTGATTTTTGAGTATTGATTTTGTATCCTACACTACTGAATTTGGTTATTAAATGTAGGAATCTTTTTTGGAGGAGGGGTTACTAAGGATCGAACTCAGGACCTTGTGCCTGCCAGGCAGGCATTTATGCTGCTGAGCTGTATCCCTGGCCCTAAAATGCAGGAATATTTTGGTGGAGTGTTGGGGGTTTATATGTATGAGTATCGTGTCACTCACAAATAATGATAATTTAACTTCTTTCTTTCTTACTCATATTCTTTGTATTTGTTTTGCTTATGTAACTGTCTGGTTAATGTTTCCAGAATTATATTGAATAGGAGTAGTGATAGTGAACATCCTTGTCTTGTTCCTGATTTTAGAGTGAATGCTTTCAGTTTTTGACCATTTCGTATGATATGGGCTATTGGTTTGTCATCAGTAGTTTTTATCAGGTTGAGATAGAGACCTATTCCAATTTTCTGTCAGGTTTTTATCATGAATGGCTTTTGGATTTCATCAAATGCTTTGTCTATGCCTATTGATATGATTGTATATTTTTTGTCTTTTGTTCTATTACTATGATATATTATTTTTTGATTTGCTTGTGTTGAGCCATCCCTGCAACTTTTTGAGTTAATTCTATTTGGTCATGGTATGTAATCTCCTTGATTGCTTGCTGCATTGTTTGCCAGTGTCTTATTAAAGATTTTTGTATCTATGTTCATTAAAGAAATTGGCTTATAGTTTTTAAATTACTTCTTCAGTTTCACTGACTAATATTGGGTTATTTCTGTGGTAATTCATAAATATCTAGGAATCCTTTTCTTCTGAGTTTGCCATCTTATTAGAGTATAGGTTCTCAAAATAGGTATTGATAATCTGGGTTTCTGTAGGATCTGTTGTGATTTCACCCTTTTCATTTCTATTGCATGGATTTGAGTCTTGTCTTTATTTTTTTTGATAAAATCAATGTCTTAGTTATTTTTTTATCATTGTTGAGACAAAATACCTGACACCCAAAATTAGGAAAGGGAAGGGTTTTTTTTGTTTTGTTTTGTTTTGTTTTACAATTTTGGAGGTTTTAGTCCATACACAGTTGGCTCCAAGCAGCAGGGTGGCATGGTGGGGCCACCATTCATTGGTGGTGCAAATACCAGGCAGGAACAGCTAGTGAAAAAAGACATGCCTTCTTTTGACTGTTACATTGTAAACTGTCAAACTCCATGTATGAAACAGCTGGCTCCATCCTGGGGCGGGTGTAGCACTCATACCACCAATCTGAGTGCTAGACAGTGAACCAATCACAGATGCTACATCCATGATTGTATGAGGCTTGAGGTGGGGCATCTGAACATAAACCATAAAAATCAGCTAAAGATTTGTCTGTTTTTTTAATCTTTCAAACTAACTCTTTTTTTCTTTTTTTATTTGTATTTTAAAAAAAGATTAAGATAGAAGAGGACATAACAAAACAGGTCAGAACAGAACAATTTAAGCAACATAGTATTTCACCAAAAGACAACCTGAAATTACAGTAGCTATGTGTTTCTTTCCTTGAAATATTTGAGTATACCTTCATACACTTTAGTATCAAACATAATAAACCAGTATAAAACCATTCAAGAGAATGAAAGTATTACAGGGTATTCAGAACCAACTAACAG